TTACCATATTAAGTTGTATTCCTGCATAATCACAGTGTTGCCAGTTCTTATAACTTACATACATGTTATTTTAAACAAATAAAATATAAGAACTAATTTATGAAAGTATTTTTGTTTTAAGGAACGAACATTATAAATAAATAAAAATTGTCTGATTTATATATTTTTAAAATCATTTAAGTTTTTGCAGATTATGTGTTACTATTTTTTTCCAATAGTGTATGTATTTAATTTGTGAATCTCAGTGTCAATGAACCATGACAGTGACATAGTTTAGCTCAACTATACTAGTGTCACTACATACACTAAAAATTGATGCAATTAGGAAAGTTAAAACGGGTGCATAAAGAAATACGGTGCGTTTTTTTTCTGATTCAGCCATTTCAACAGAGAATCAGTGCTAGACATATTACACTAATCCAAAATAAAATAGTAACAAAATGAAACACTGAACAGTTTAAATTTATGCAGAATCCCATCATGTTCCGGAGACATTTCTTTGAGTATAACTATATTTTCAGTCATTAATGCATTATTGTTTCTGGTATCGAATAAGAGAGATAAGTTAAAATCCACAAATAAGTTTATATTTTGCTTAACAAATATAATCACTTCGTATATGTATAAGCTCACTAAGGTAAGTATCCATTTTTCAATAGAAATTTGTTTGTCAGTTTCATGTTTAGAATATTCCTAATGCATCTCTTTTGTAATACAAATAGTAGGCCAGTTCAGGAAAAAAATTCTATTAAAAGTTTTTTTGTGGAATATTGTTCAGAAACGTGTTATAAACAAAATATCAAAAAATCAACTCGAGACTAGTTGGGAAACTTTGTTTTAACAGTGGTCAAAGTTATGGAAAAGTGGTTTTTTGACTCACGTAAAAAAGCTATTATTCATAGCGAAAAAAAGTTTATACAAAAAAGGTAGGTATTAAATAAGCCTATAAAATGAAGAAATTCCGATTAAATTCCGATAATTTGTTTATGTACAAGAGCTCAAAAATAGTCGAAAATGGCCGTTTTTCTTTAATTGCTAATAATGTAATTTTCATCGCAGACACTTACAATTCGGGATTTTTAGGCATTTTGCAACCTTAATAAATGGTAAAAATTTCAGCCCGAAAACTTCATTAGTTTGGCGTTGGCGGAATTTGTTATCTAAGAAGATGCTATTTTCAATTGATTTTTCCCAAGCTCAAAGGCGTTGTAGTAAATAGTTGTATTGACATGCATTTACTGAGAATTTAATTTTTCAAATTTAATTTGTTCAAAAATGACTGAAGAAATGTTAATATTTATTAAATTGTTAAGATAGGTAATTATTATAAAACGAAATACTAACGTCTATAGTTTAGTTAGTACTATTTTTCTTCGAATTTAAAAAAATCGTTCTAAGTTGATTAGAAGCCGAGGCATTTTTTTTTATTTAATCGCAGTGTCCTTAATTATTAAGAGCCGAAATTTGGTGAGTATACATTAAGAGCTATATTATCATACCTTACATTAACATTAAAGTGAATTCAACTATTTAATTGCAAAAAAGAAGATAGCGGCGATGCGTTCTATTACTCGGTCTAGCGAACGAGTGGGAAGAGCGAAGCTATATAAAAAATTAAATCGGGTTGAAATAATGTTAATACCATAGCTTCAATGCTCATGAATTTTCGCGCTACCACAAATTAAAAAAAGAATCATCTCGATAGGTTTATTATTAACCGAGATATGGCTAATTTTTCCGGCTCCATCGATTTGAAGGCGCTCGTTCACTTACCTGCACGCTACCAGGCGCGTAGGGCGCATGCTCCGCCTCACTCTCCCCACGCGTTCGATAGACCGAGTAATAGAACGCATCGCCGCTATCTTCTTTTTTGCAATTAAGTAGTGGAATTCACCTTAATGTTAATGTAAGGCATGAAAATATAGCTCTTAATGTATACTCTCGCCAAATTTCGGCTCTTAATATTAATAATTAAGGTCACTGCGATTAAATAAAAAATATATATATCAGCTTCTGATCAACTTAGAACGATTATTTTTGAAAATTCGAGGAAAAATAGTATTAACTAAACTATAGAGGTTACTATTTCATTTTATAATAATTACCTGTCTTAACAATTTAATAAATATTAACATTTTTTCAAAGTAATTTTTAAACAAATTAAATTTGAAAAATTAAATTCTCAGTAAATGCATATGTTAATATAACTATTTAGGTACAAAAACAACTAATGATCGAAACTATACAACGCCTTTGAGCTTGGGAAAAATGAATTGAAAATAGCATCTTCTTAGATAACAAATTCCGCCAACGCCAAACCGTTGAAGCTTTCAGGTTGAAATTTTTACCTCTTATTAAGAGTGTAAAAAGCCTCAAAAATCCTGAATTATAATATGTCTGCGATAAAAATTGCATTAATTATTAGCAATTGAAAATAACGGTAATTTTCGACAATTTTTGAGCTCTTGCGCATAAACAAATTATCGGAATTTAAGCGAACTTGTCTCATTTTATAGGCATATTTAATACCTACCTTTTTCGTATCAACTTTTTTCGCTATGAATAATAGTTTTTCACGCGAGTCAAAAAACCACTTTTCCATAACTTTAACCATTGTTTAAACAAAGATTCCCAACTAGCCTCGAGTTGATTTTTTGATATTTTGTTTGTAACACGTTTCCGACCAATATTCCGCAGAGAAACTTCTAATAGTATTTTTTTTCCGAAACAGGCTGTTTCATGTCTATAATGATTGGACTATAGATCGATAGCATCACTAGAGAGTTTCTCCAGAATACTATTCCATATTTTAGTTGGGATTGAACATATGCATGGTGCTATAAATGCTGTAGGAATATTAATATTTTGAGCTATTTTAGAGCATAATAGTATTTACCTACGACCACTACTGCAAATACTTAAAAACACACCGTCTGCGATCAATGTAAGATTCCTATTACGTACGGTAAAAAAATCGCACAGCTTGGTAAAAAAATCGTACAGTACAGGAAAACTGTACGATTTTTTTACCGTACGTAATAGGAATCTTACATTGATCGCAGACGGTGTGTTTTTAAGTATTTACAGTAGTGGTTGTAGGTAAAGTATAGTACGTAATACGTGGTGTAATGCAATTACGCACTCATAGAATTACGCACTCGCCGCGTCGTGGGTAAAATGCTTTTTACAACACTTATTACATGATATACTATTAGCGATCTTTTGACCACCATGGTCTATTGTATATTATGATATCTTTATATGTTCTAAAAGAATTATGTGCTAGATTTAGGATTTCCGCTAGAATTTGAAAAAAATATATCTAAATTACCATTAAGGGGTCTGTATATGCACAAAATTAGCAATTTTAATTCCCGGCATACAACAGACGAACGCTCTACATTACATTCAAGACTTTTTTGTTTTAAATCGTATACCTCCTCACATACAATGTCTATTCTTACAAATATATAGGAACCACCGTTCTTTACATTTTCTGTAGACCATACAGATGCTACATTATAACCATCCAGGTGTATGCAGAATATTTCTTCAGATGTATACCTACCAGTGTTCTGTTATACATAAGATGGCTGGTTGATTTTTCAAACTTCTTGTAAACAAATCTAGTTCCAAGAATTTATTTTTTAAAGACTACATATTTTGATGAAATTTTGTATATGTAGATAGCAATCCGTTAGTTTTTGTATTTGAGTAGGTGGAACATTGTGTACAAGATTTTTTATATAGCTCGCAACAAAGAAGTCCATTACGGTGAGGTCTGGACACCTGCGTGGCCACTGACATGCACAAAATGTAACAATTTATAACTTCAAGGATCTAAAATAGACCCTCCAAAGCTGCTTCCTTAAAATCATTTTTTTATTGCTAATATTAAATTTCTACGCTATGCCTGCATTTTCACTAAAATTGAAATACCTCACAAACTGTAAGTCCTAGGTGCTTTCAAAAATGCAGTGAAATACAGGGCGTTCCATTAAAAAATACATAACTTTGATATGGTACGCTTTTCCTGGACACCCTGTATATTTCAAAATATTCTTAAAATGCATAATAAAAAAAGCCTTATAAACAAATAAAACCAGCATTTTTGTTGAAATTTCACAACTTTCTAAGCTGGCATTAATTGTTAAATAAATAAATCCATAAATGAAACTTACCTATCTTGTAAAATTAAGTCCAAGCTTTAAAGTGAGATGTCGTGCGTCTCAATCCGTCCAATGGAACCAGAGATATGGTAAAATTGGTGCACGCGGAGACGGAAAATGTGAGATATTTGCACTAAATTTGCAATAATATTAGTTAAATAAAGTTAATCTTTTTTTAATTTTCAAAAAAATATATGTTGGTTATGGGAAAACGTAACTATTAACGCATAAAAAATTGTACTAGCTATAAAAATAAACTTTTTACAGCCATTTAAACATTTAATCTGTTAATAACAATTAAACTGACCACTTTCAGGCTTTGCAACCAAGGTTTTTAGATTCAGGTCAAAATACTCAGGAATAAGTTATTTGCAGCCATGGCACTCTGATTGGCCACAGAACCCTATCTGGCTCCTAGACTACTCGTTTAACAAATTGCATTCGTCCAGACCAATAACTAGTAAAATGCTCAAGCACAATTCCTCTAATTCCATAATTTTGCAACACACTAAGAATCTTATCATGGGGCACTGTGTCAAACGCCTTAGCTAAATCTAAAAACACTGCAGCACATTTTTTGCTAGAATCCAGATAGTTTCGTTTTTCTCATATAGTTTCAGGTTTTTTTTTGCTTCCATACCACATCTAACTTGGTTAACTTGCGATTTCTATTGTTAAAAATCAGAGTTAGCCGCTTGACACTCACTATTTTTTTTTTTTTGGTATGGATTTAGGAGTCTCTAACCTCAATAATCATTCATATTAGTTTACTCTTTTTTATTTATACAAATTTAACAAGTATGAATTGAAATAAGATTATTTTGTCACGTTTTTTCTTAGAATTAATTTACCCATTAAATAAGAAATTTTACAGTAAGTTGCAACAAAGTTCTACTCCTTTTAATTATGCAATTTTACTGTATTAGTGTGTAAGATGCTAGAATATTTCATATCAATACTTTATAATAGACTGATAAATACAACAGTATTTAACTAAAAATGTCCCAGTGATTCGATACTTTAACTTTGTTACAAAGTACAGCACAAGCATAGCATATTTGAACGTCGCTAAGAAAATTTTTAATAGTCTTTACAAATCTTGCATTTATGTTGCACTTGATGCGGTTTGATAGCACTCTTGTATTTAGTGTCGTAATTACAGTTGTTACACATGTACATTCAAACCTGCGAAGGATCTTTATGCTTCAGTTGGTGATTTTGGACACAACGCTTGTATTTAGATTCGTAATCGCAGTTGTTACACCTGTAGATTTGAACCTGAGAGGGCTCCTTATGTTGCAGTTGATGCTTTTTGATAGAACACTTGTATTTAGTTTCGTAATTGCAGTCGTCACACTTGTACATTTGAACCTGTGAAGGATCTTTATGTATCAGTTCGTGCCTTTTCATAGTATTCTTGTCTTTAGTTTCGTAACGACAGTCGTTACACCTGTACATTTGAAGCAGTGAAGGATGTTTATGTTTCAGTTGGTGCCTTTTGATACTGCCCCTTAATTTAGTTTCGAAATCGCAGTCGTTACACCTGTACATTTGAACTTGCGAAGGATCTTTATGTTTCAGTTGGTGATGTTTGATATACCTCTTGCATGCAGTTTTGAAATCGCAGTCTGTACACCTGTATATTTGAACCTGTGAAGGATCTTTATGCTTCACCTGGTGTGTTTTCATATTCAACTTGTATTTAGTTTCGAAATCGCAGTCGTTACACTTGTACATTCAAACCTGCGAAGGATCTTTATGCTTCAGTTGGTGATTTTGGACACACCGAACACTTGTATTTAGTTTCGTAATTGCAGTCGTCACACTTGTACATTTGAACCTGTGAAGGATCTTTATGTATCAGTTCGTGCCTTTTCATAGTATTCTTGTCTTTAGTTTCGTAACGACAGTCGTTACACCTGTACATTTGAAGCAGTGAAGGATGTTTATGTTTCAGTTGGTGCCTTTTGATACTGCCCCTTAATTTAGTTTCGAAATCGCAGTCGTTACACCTGTACATTTGAACTTGCGAAGGATCTTTATGTTTCAGTTGGTGATGTTTGATATACCTCTTGCATGCAGTTTTGAAATCGCAGTCTGTACACCTGTATATTTGAACCTGTGAAGGATCTTTATGCTTCACCTGGTGTGTTTTCATATTCAACTTGTATTTAGTTTCGAAATCGCAGTCGTTACACTTGTACATCTGAACCTGTGAAGGATCTTTATGCTTCACCTGGTGTGTTTTCATATTCAACTTGTATTTAGTTTCGAAATCGCAGTCGTTACACTTGTACATTTGAACCTGTGAAGGATCTTTATGCTTCAGTTGGTGCTGTTTGATGTGACTCTTGTATTTAGATTCGTAATCGCAGTCTGTACACTTGTATATTGGAATCTGCAAAGGATCTTTATGTTTCATCAGGTGACTCTGAAGTAATTTCTCATTTTCAGTCTTGTAATCACAGGACTCACATTTATACGCTTCCAAGTCGTTATCGTGTCTCGCACAGTGTGCAGTAAAACAGATCCCACTTTCAGTTTTGTAAATACATTTATTACATTTGTACGATACTTTGCCCTCCTGCTTTGTTTTCACTTCTGATGCATTCTCATGTTTACATCCGTCCTCTTCTTCATATTTACAGTCACTCTCCTCGAATGGTACAACATTGGAGCTCTCAAGTGGCATGTCGCTGAAAAAATTGCAAATAATAATAATAATAATAATTAATGTTTATTTACAGATTATACAGTAAACAATATTATAACAATAATAACAGCATTACATTGAAAATAAACAGAAATTCGCAGAAGCAGCAGTGAACATTGCTGCTTGTGATACAGGCCAAAATCGAGTAATATTATGTCATTTTTAGGTAGCTTTGTCAAATTTGGGAGACATTATCTGGTATACACCGTGTCCACCTAGTGCGCGTAAGTCCAATATTTAGGTTAATAAAAGATATAAATTAATTTTTTTTTCTACAGTTTAAAAATAAATAACCTTACAATATATTTCCCGAAAAAGGAACGGGCGCAAATCCGGTATTTTACATAAAAATGTTTTTTTTTACAAAAACTACGCAACTTAGGTATAGAGAAAGCTATTAAAAAATTGTAGGATCTACAGAAAGGCATCTAATGAAATCATAAAACATAGGGTGTTCTATTTGAAAAAGTCGAGATTTTTCAAATTTTAAATTATCAGGTTTGGCACGATTTTTTTTGCCCCCTGTATATCGCAGATCAACTTTTGATACCTTTTTGAAAGAACCATCTTCACTCTACAGTTCCTAAAAACAAATAATTTCTAGCTGCCATACAGTCATAATTATGTCAACTACTAGAAGTGACGAAACATAAGAATCTCGAAAACTATCAATTTTTAATAGGGATCATAACACAAAGTCCCGTTAATTTTTCACGTAGAATTCGATATTGCCATAAAAAATTAGGTTTCCATTTAAAAAAATTAAGTTGCTACCTACCCAGGAAAAACTGAACACCTTGTATATGCAAATATATTTTCATTTTGTGCAGCTCGGGAAAGTAGGCAACTCTGTAGAAAAAAAAATTAAGTTATATCTTTTATTAACTTGGATATTGGACTTACGCGCACTAGGTGAACACAGTGTATAGTAAGTAGTACCTATTGGAAATGTAGTAATTTTTTTTTATTGTTATTATTTTGGCAAGCATAGACAATAAAACGCATATACACATAACATTCCTCATTAAAAATACTATCCAGTGTAATTCACACGAATAACCACACAACCACCAACAGACCTCCTAATACGAATATAATAAGTCATAAAACATTTTCCGACCATTGTTTAATCCANCAGTCATAATTATGTCAACTACTAGAAGTGACGAAACATAAGAATCTCGAAAACTATCAATTTTTAATAGGGATCATAACACAAAGTCCCGTTAATTTTTCACGTAGAATTCGATATTGCCATAAAAAATTAGGTTTCCATTTAAAAAAATTAAGTTGCTACCTACCCAGGAAAAACTGAACACCTTGTATATGCAAATATATTTTCATTTTGTGCAGCTCGGGAAAGTAGGCAACTCTGTAGAAAAAAAAATTAAGTTATATCTTTTATTAACTTGGATATTGGACTTACGCGCACTAGGTGAACACAGTGTATAGTAAGTAGTACCTATTGGAAATGTAGTAATTTTTTTTTATTGTTATTATTTTGGCAAGCATAGACAATAAAACGCATATACACATAACATTCCTCATTAAAAATACTATCCAGTGTAATTCACACGAATAACCACACAACCACCAACAGACCTCCTAATACGAATATAATAAGTCATAAAACATTTTCCGACCATTGTTTAATCCACGATTTTATTTTAAATTTATATTTATTAATATTTTTTTCAATTTCCATATCTTCAGGTAATATGTTAAAAAGTTTTGCTGCTATGTAATCACAATTTCGTTGCCCAACTGATTTTTCGCACTTTGGTATTCTTACATTATATTCTCTACTTTTAGTTTCATATTTATGCTCGATAGAGTTTAGCTTTATTTTATCTTTTTTTACATTAACAAGAACGGATAAACAAAATAATTGTCTAATATCAAAAAGCTTACTTTCCTTAAAATAATTGATCACTTGAACATGTTATTTTTTTGTTATAAATTATTCTAATTATCCATTTATGTGTAGATATGTAAATTGTTTAAATGAACGTCAATACCACCTCCCCATCCTATAATACCATACGCTTATTGAGACTGGACTAAAGAATAATATACTGTTTAACATCTAGATAGTCTTTTAGATATTTAAAGCGTGATAGTAGAAGTCCGATTATAAAGTGATTGTGGATAAATAGATTTATTAAATTTTAATCAAATAATAACACTCAGTATATCACCTTTTTTTATTTTGTAATTGTTCAGTTTTTGTTTTTTACCTAATCACAAATTTTAATAAACTAGCCACAAAAATGAAAGGATAAAAAGAAAATCTTAAATTTTCGGGTGTATTTCAAAAGGCTGTAACATGGCGAAAAATGGTTATAAAGCTATAAAAACATAACAAATTCAAGCTTGAAATTTCTAGTTTCAGGATCTGGAAATCGAAAATTTTTATTGTTGACCATTTTCTTTGATTGGTGCTATTTAAGAGGTTCATATGATTTGTCGCTGAGTTATCGTCGTTGAAAATTATTTCTTTGGCTTTAATAATTAATCGCTTGGGAACTAATGATCGTACAGAAAATCTAAGCAGAGTATTCAAAAGAAAAGGCCGATACGAAGGGGGAAAGGAAATACTTTGTACTGATGAATGCCAATGAATATTAGTCTCTCCATGCTCGGACTAGTATTTTACAGTGCAATTCATTAAGTAGGCAAACTGATCACCGGATATTGTTATTTAAGGAGGTTCGATACCGAAAAAAAATGGTAAAGTTTTCAAAGCAATTGAAATCTGTTAATAAATATGCAAACTGTCTCGTGTAAATATTATCAGATCGATTGCCAATGTAGTTTTTTTTTTAATTATGCTCTTATACACAGGCTCTTATGGGAGTTGGGGCAAAAACTTTAATCAAACGTGAATATTGCTCTTAAAAATGGTTAGGATGGGGAAAATAAAATTCTAATTAAAGAATTAAATATTACTAAACATTTTAAAACAATAAAAATATGCACTTACAATGTAATTATTGAGATAATGGAATGAATATATAACGTTTTGACAAATTTGAACATCTGATCCAATGAAAGGAAATATGGCAACACTGTACGCTGTAGTTAACACTTCGACTGATGCGCTATATTTGAATAGCTCGATTATAGACTATAAAATTATTCCAGTCGAAAACATATGTTGTAATAATTAATATTAAATACATTTTTCGTGATCTAATGCAATATAATAGCAATTTGAAACAAAAATTGAAAAGATCTCTGCAAAACGAACAGTATAGATGTTCTGTCATATTCTTCAATTTGACAAGGCGACGTCTCACTATCATACACTGAACTTCTTGATAGTTATGATATGGATTCTCGGTTTGCACATTTTACTTTTTTCTCATCAATCCACATTCTGTTTCATACGCATTTTATATTACTTTTCAGTCATTACTTTTCCTTTGTACCTTGAATGTTCATTCATGTTTACGTAATTCAATTAACATAATAAGCGTCTGTTTCTTGAAATATCAGAACATTTTTAACAATTTTTTTGTTTTAAAATTATGTTCCTCAATATTTTTATCTCCTCGTTATTATTTACAGTCCTGTTGAAGATTTTAAACAATACCCTTAAAATAGTGTAAAAATTAACAACCCATGCCAACCTGGCATTCTTCTTGCAATTGCTTACCTAAGCACTAATTATTTTGTAACTCGGTGAGATCTATCCTTTTTGTTCCAAGAAAATTGCGATTTCTGTCCGAAGTTAAAAAAATTTAATGAATTATGAAATCCAGTATAGCGTTCGTTGCAGCAATATCCGATTTAAAGCCATACTGATTGTTTTATAATGATCTTAAATTTTTTTCCAATAATTTGTTAAACCTAACTCTTGACGATTGTCTCAAAATTTGTACGATACTGTTTAAAACTGACATAATCATATAAGTCACGATGTATTAGAGCCACGGGCTGCTATATTATAAATTAATATTAAAATAGTCTTCTCTTACCTCCTTTCCTCATCTTCTGATTTTATGTCCACATATTCAGCTTTAATCGACATTTCCATCTCATTAATATCGAATTCCTTGTCCAGGTTTTCAGTTTTAACGAATAAATCAAGTGGGGACGTATCTATTTGATTTCCTGTGGCTGAACTACCAAAAATACTTATAATTTTTTCTTCTACCTCTGAGCAATCTTTTAGGAAGCTGTTGTGAGTACACAGAGAATCGAAGCAGGGCTTACAAACAACGGGATCTTTGACGATATTTATATTCTACAAAGCAGTTTCGTTAAATTACAAAATATGAGAGTACTTAATATTGTTCATACCATTTCAGGAACTAATTTCTCAATAGCTTCAAGTTCCAATTCACGTATGCACCTAAACCCACTTTCTACTGGGTGCATACACAATCGGCATATTTTCTGACTGTAAACTAATTCACTTTTCTTTTCCTGCATGTACACTTCTCTGAGGTCGAGCTGTAACATTTTTTCGTTATCCACATAAAGCATAATTGTATTATCGGTATTCAGACACGTTGTCTTGAATTCTGACGCCTTACTTAACTTTCTTCTGCAGACGTTACATATAACCTGTTTGCTCTCGCTATCAAATTTCTGAAAAATATGCAACTTTAAACAGAAAGAAAATACGTGTAGCGGAAAATAAGTTAAATACTAAAAGTTGCTTTACACTTGAGACTGTTAAGAGGTAATGTAATTATATTTCACCGACTTACCAATTTCAGCAAAAGAACATCTAGATTATCTCTGATAATGTTGTCTACCACTTCAAAGCTTTCATCGGTTATATTTTTAAGGCAAAGGCTACACGAAGTTTCCTTAACGTCAGCCATTGCTCTGCAACAATCTTTTTTTACGTAAAATAGAACGCAGATACAAATAACAAAAATATAAAGCTTTCACTTCTAACCTTCTTGGCTTCTTACACGGCAGCCATAGCAGCATTGTCATAGAACAGAATATTTATTATTTATCTAATTCTGTGGCATGTGGCATAGTTCACAGTTGTGGTTTGTTAGGAATAGTGATGGGCGAAACAACACTGAGCTGGCTATTCGTACCGATTCGGGTGAACCGGTCCCGTCTCAAAGACAGAATCGTGAACAGTGCTCCCGTATTCGCTCAATTCATACAGTCTCGATTCTTGAGCCCTCGCATGGTGAAGGTCAGTCGAACGAAATCTTCCAAATCCGTATTCTTGACTCCCTTTGAATCGAATATGTTGTATTCGCATGCGAATAAATTCGAATAATATACATCGATTGGTATTTATCGATCGAAAAAGCAAAAAACTATACGAATGTTTACTGTAACCTCACTTTATGGTTGTGTTGTTGTTTTGTATTGTTTACGAAGACCAAAACTTGTCATTTGAATATTTTGTGGGTTTTATTTAATCTTCCTAATATTTTCCTTAAAAACATAAAATTCATTTTTGTAATCCTGAGAAAAAAATGCCTTTATTTCCATTGAAAAAAATATATTCCAGTAAATTTAAGTATGCTAAATTGTTATCTATCTACCTTACAAGTCTAACAAAAACAAACTGACAAATAATTCAGTAATTTGTGAAACTAACCCTGGGTGAGTTGGCTCAGACAAACTGGATCAGATCTAGAAACAGATCTTTTCATCGGTGGCCATCTTCTTTCGCAGTCGCACTCCTATCGGCCCTTCGCGCAACCTCTGTCAGCTGAAGTAGAATTCGCGCACTACTCCGGTCAGAAGATGGCGCCACTAATCTCTTATGATTATTAACGAGTATAATGAATTATTACCGAATGTTTTTCTTCCGGCTACATAAGGTCTGTTCCAACAAGAGTCAGGGATTGGTTCCGAACCGTCAGAAATGTGCATCCAACTAATTCTTGTGATATATTCACTGAAGACACATTTAGAACTTGGCTGGCCAAACATTTCGAACGGTTCGGAACCAATCCCTGACTCTTGTTGGAACAGACCTATAATCTCAAATTGGGACCGTTACACTAGAGCAGTGCATCCGCACCCCCACAATTCGGATTCACATAGTGCAGGTATTAGATGTAGTTGTATCATTTGACACTTTTATATCTTTAAATAAAAATTATTTTTTATATGCTCTTTAAATCGCTAATAAATAATAATCAACAAAAATATAAATTCTATAAATGCATCAAAATAAAACATAATATTAAAAAACCTGCTTTAGGCATTCGCTAAATAAATTTTAGTTCTGTACGGAATTTCAAGTTAATTTTCATGTAGAAATATTATCCGACTAGTTTTAGTAGAACTTAATCGACTTTTATTGCACAGAATTTGTCCCGTCTTTGAAAAGATCCTTTTGCAAAGAAATTAAATTCAATATCACGATCCAACAATATTTTTACAATTTACTTTTAAATATAAAATGGTATATTAAAGACAATTCAGTTTTTACTTTTTTGGAATTTAAATATCTCTGAATTATGTACCTGCCCCCGAAAAGAAAATATTGCAGATACTTAAGACAAATCGTCACCGCTTGACTACGTGCATGATCGACTTGGCTCAAGTTCCAAGGAAGTATGTATTTGTATATGGTCTGCAATCTGCGCAACCTATTTTTGAGGGACACTACCAATGCCGTCATTTTGAACATCAATTTTGTTTATTGATGAGTAATGTTTTGTGAATTATTTATTAGTTACTATTTGTTTATAAACATATTTTTTTTTCGTTTATGAATTTTTTAGGCAAACTTCGCCGTTTATGCACCACATGAAAAAAACACTGTCTTTCCTAGATTTTTTTCCTATATCACAATATCTTTTGTTTCTAGGTGGTATTTTTTGTAAATTCTTCTACATATTGATTGTATTATATAGGGTGTCCCGAAATTCATGCAATAAAATTTGGTCACAGATTCTTAAGACAAATTTAGGGGATACGTATTTTTTATTTTTGCCAACTGGCCCCCTCTTTCGGAGTTACAACCGCCTGAAGTCCGCCCCCTAAGAATAATCTTTTTTTTATATCTCAGAACCCTGTTGTACGAGATTTACTAAATTTGGTACACGGGGGTTTTATGATATGTGGAATCTGATGGTGCTACGTTTTTTGGCGGGGAACCCCCTTGAGACAATTTTTCGTGAGCCACCTTGTCTTTGGAGCCAAAAAAATTTGGTCGCATATTTAAATTTCTTAAAAATTATCAGTCCACTAAAACGCCATTAAATTTAGAAATTTTTGTCTCTATACTTTTTTCGTAAAACGCAATGTTTTCGAGAAAAATATCAAAATGTGATCGAATGCATATCGCGATTCGACATTTTGCTCAAAAACATTGCGTTTTACGAAACAAATATCGAGACAAAAAAGTTTCTAAATTCAATGACTTTCTAGCTAACTAATAATTTAAAAAAAATCAAATTTGCGACGAAATTTTTCTGGTTCCAAAGACAAAGGGGCCCACGAAAAAGTGTCTTAAGGGGGTTTCTCTCTAAAAATCGTAGCACTGTGAGATTCCACATGTCATTAAACCCCTGTATACCAAATTTAGTGATTCTCGTACAACATGGTTTTGAGATATAATAAACGACTTCTTAGAGGCAAATTTCAGGGGGCTGTAACTCCGAAAGGGGCCAGTTGGCAAAAAGAAAAAATACGGGTCCCCTAAATTTGTCTTAAGAATCTATGACCAAATTCATGTATGAATTTCGGGACACCCTGTATATATATATATATATATATATATACATGTACGCAAAATAGTAAAAAATAAAAATAAATAAAAAATATCTCTCTTAAAGTTTCAAAAATTGAAATTGGGATGCCATATCTAGTTGATCTCCCAAACCCACAAATGTGAAAATGAGTTCAACAGCTTTTTGTTATAAACAATCATGCATTTTTATTTTATTAAACCCTTCAATTAATTAATTACATGTTCTACACAGTTGACAATAACACTGTTTAAAATTAATGGACACGCTTAGCAGACTATCACATTGCGAGAAACGGACAGTGTGGACATAACCAGGTATTAGCGAATTCTACAGGTGCTAGTCCAAAATCACTTGTCGCCCTCCGTTTTGGTCAGGTTTTCGTGTTTCAACCGATGTATTTCAAGACAAAGGTTACATTTTCCTTCGTATCCACATATTTATAATTGGTGTCATATTCACTCTTGTAGCTCTTTACACAACCAACGAAAGGTAATAATTCACATGTGCATACCTTTTTTTGTGAATCAATTCAGGTCTCCTCAAACACTTCTTTTGCTGGATTGTTAGCAAAGTACACCCGTACACTTGCATTCATGAAGACTTTTTATGTTTCAACATGTGACGTCCGATAGTCCTCCTGTATTTTGTTTCAAAATCGCAGTCGTTACACCTGTACATTTGAACCTGCGAAGGATCTTTATGCTTCAGCTGATGCGGTTTCATATCGCCCTTGTACTTAGTTTTGTAATCGCAGTCATTGCAACTATACATTTTCACCTGTGAAGGATCTTTATGTATCAATTGATGCTTTTTGATACATCTCTTGTATTTAGTTTCATAATCGCAGTCTTTACACCTGTACATTTGAACCTGCGAAGGATCTTTATGCTTCAGTTGGTGCAGTTTGATATTTCTCTTGTATTTAGTTTCATATGTGCAGCTGTCACACTCGTACATTTGAACCTGTGAAGGATGTTTATGTTTCAATTTGTGCTTTTTGACAGCATTCTTGAATTTAGTTTCATAATCGCAATCATTACACCTGTATGTTTGAACCTGTGAAGGATCTTTATGTTTCAGTTGGTGACTTTTGACAGCACATTTGTATTTAGATTCGTAATCGCAATCATTACACCTGTATGTTTGGACCTGTGAAGGATCTTTATGTTTCAGTTCGTGACCTGTGACAGCACACTTGTATTTAGATTCGTAATCGCAATAAGTACACCTGTATGTTTGAACCTGTGAAGGATCTTTATGTTTCAGTTGGTGCTGTTTGAAATGACTGTTGTACCTTGCTTCATAATCGCAATCGTTACATCTGTACATTTGAATCTGCAAAGGATCTTTATGCCCCAACAGGTGCCTCTGAAGTAATTTCTCATTTTCGGTTTTATACTCACACGATTCACATTTATACAATTCCGAATCGTTCTCGTGTCTCGCACAGTGTGCCGTAAAACGGACCTCACTTCCAGTTTCGTAAATACATTTATCACATTTGTACGATACTTTGCGGTGCGTTTTGACTTCTGATCCATTTTCATGTTTACATACATCCTCTTCTTCAGCTTTACAGACACACTCCTCGAACGCTATGATATCGGAGCTCTGCAGTCGCATGTCGCTAAAAAAAATTTCATATATAGCCTATTTTTAAAAATCAAGTTTTAATTTTAAGGGGTGACACACAGGGATAGGTGACACATGCCGAAATATTGAGTTTCACAAAAAATGAGTCTAATAAACGGGCATATTTATATTTGAAGTTAATGAAATGTGATTATTATTTATACAATTGTACCATCGTACCGAAACAACTCGGTGCTTGCTGTGATCTTTATGGTTGTCACTCTCATACTTGATTTAATTATGTGTTATTAAAACATTCAATTACATGTTTATGAACTCAGTATGGCTGTATTTCGTTTTTATTGGACATTTGGACATTTTATGAAGAAATTCAGATCAAACAGTTGTGATATTTTGGCAATTAGTGGAGTCAAGATAGCTTAAAATTACGCATGATTTCGAAATAATTATGGGAAGCATGGATTTTCCTAAAACCTTTTGAAATTACTTGGAGATAAGTATTAGAAAAAAGTTATAGATTTATTTTTGTACGCTAATTGTTTTTTAATTGTTTAAACAATAATAAATAGTTTTTTTAAGAACATTTAAAATAATTCAATGAATTTTAAATCGAATTCTTTCAAATTGACAACTTTAGGGGTTTTCAATGTCGCTGAACAAGAATATGAAGTCGGAAAATGAAAATTCAAAATGGCTGATCCAATATGGCCGACTATTTTAAACAATTTATTTAACAATTATCGATTTTAACTCAAACTCGCTCATATTTGTAATAGAGAGGTTCGAAAAATGAAAATTATAAATGGCTAAAGAGGTTTTATTGAAAACATGTTTTATTTTTTAAAAAACAAATTTATTACAAAATAATTAATTTTTAAATCTCGAGTTCTTACTCTTCTTCAAAAATAACCCTGCTTTTCTTAAATGCAACTTTTGTCCTAATCATTTTTTTGTTTGAGCAGTATTTTCTGAGATAGAGGGGGGTTCCAAATTTTTTGAACACCCTGTATATATTAGACTCATATCTGTGTCTACATCAATAAGAGAACTTATATTCACAATTTCAGATACAGAATATACGTTTTAAAAATGAATATTAAATCAATTCATCAAAAAACGTTATTTTTTTGCTGTTATAACAATTTTCCACTTATTACTATAAATAAAAAAATTATTTTTCGCTGGATTTACTTTTTTTAAGGTCTTAACTTAATTCTTTGATGGTTTATTAAACAAAAAAAAAATTTTTTTTGTACATTATTAAACTTTATTTAACAATAAATTTCACGGATTTTTCATGAAATATTTTTATTTTTTGTTATTTTTTGTTTTTTCAACTATTATTTCAATTTTTTAAGAAAAATAAAATGCACCATCTTAAAGTAGAGATTTTAAGCTTTAAAAAGTGCTCTCATAAAGTTTCAATATCACATTTACAACTATAGTTTTTGATCTATAAAGTATGGCCTAAAAAGTCAAATTTGTGATTTTTTAAAATTATTGAATATGTTGGGCTCAATATTTTTCAAATTAAATTTTTAAGATTTTTTCCATATCGCTCACTGTTTCAATCGTCATTTGAAGAGTAATCTGTGAAAGTTACAGATATTTATTTTAAAAATTAAAATAATGACAGCTATTTTATTAATATTGTACAAAATTATAGAATGACGTAACTTTGTATACGTACTATATTTTTAATTTAGTGTAGCGCGCTCGGGACCGCGCGCTCTTCGAGAGTTATACTTGAGGGCTGTCCGTCTAATTTTTCGTACGTTAGAAAAAAAATTCTACAGCCTTAAATTCGCATTTTAGAAAAAAACTTTATTAACATTTTTTATGTAAAATTTCCCGTTTTTTCGAATGGCGCAGTTAATTGTTTTTAAAAAATTATATTTTTTATATATTTTGCAGAAACTGTAATTTTGCAACTAATTTGTTAAATAAATAATTTAGCGTACACTCTACGCTTGGTAACTTTTTATATGTTGTTTCTGACAACTTTACAAAGCGAAAAATGAAAAATTCTCTCTTCCAGTAATTTTCGCGAAGTCAAAATCTATCTCGACTCCATTAAATGTGAATCTGTAACTGACAGCAATCAGGTACATTTGGCACGGCATAACAACCGGAAAAACCATCGTACTTTAAACCTATTAGTTCTACTCGTAGTAATCGTTTGAAATGTCATTCCCCTCAGCCCTTACGACAGAAGGTAGAAATTATGAAAATCACAAACAACAAAATTCAAATATTCAGTAATACCAGAACAAGAATACTAGTTAATTTAAGCAAATACTAAAAACTAACAATTATCCTGTTTCTTTTCGCAAAGTTAACAACAGTTGAATCAACGAAAGTGCGAGTAGTTATAACATAATTTTAATTCTATATAAAGTACCTGAAACACGATTATTAGGCAGAAAGTTGCAGTGGGTGCGTTCACTACAAGCTGCCTACGGTGTGCTCTACAAATTCCAATAACAAGACAACTTATCAAATGAAGTAAAATGTGGCAATAAAAGATCTCTTCGTAGTAGCTGTTTTTTTAATGTTCGTCTTTGTCAAAAGGGATAAAAGAAACTATACAAAAACTTCTGTGAATGATTATTTAATAACTTCAATGTATCTGGCATGTTTTCATATTAAGTATTTTTAGATATATCATTTCTAGTTTTTCTTGGATAACTATTTATTACTACAGCTGAGCCATTGGAGCTTTATGTTTATGTCATCCACATACATCAATATAAAAGACAAAAAATGTTCAATTATTGATCAACTTGAATTAACTGGTAGAAAAAGACAAGCTGTCGTCTTCATGTATTGTACGACCGACACTAGTTCTGACAGACGTTATTAACTGTACCTGATGAATGACAAAGAGACCGACATATAGTTGTTTGTTATGAGCGTAAATTTTAGATATATATGTCACTAGCATCATTTTCTACATTCTTTGTTGTCTCAGATGGATTTAGGTCAATCAATAGAGCATTTAATCAGTGATTTTGTGACAAAAATACTAGTAGCAAACGGACTGTGCCATCATATAAAAGACAGTCAGTAGATATATGCCTAGATTTTCCTACTCCAACTTATCATTAATTAATTTTGTATGAACATTTTTATGCAAAAAACGCATTTTTTTAGTTTTTTGATTTTAAAACCTAATCCAACAAAGCAATTATGAATGCTAAAAGGAGACAGTTTGTAAAGAATGAAAATATGAATGAAACGAGAAGATTATTAGAAACAGAGAAAACCCGGAAAAAATTGGAAAATTGAGTTTTTCTTTTTAACTTCATTACTTCGCCATTTTTTAAGTTGTAAAGCTGACCCTGTGCACAAAAGTAGTGAATTATATGTATTTTAAGTGTGCATAAACCATGCGCTGTCAAAGCATCAGTTTTGGCACAGTTGCAATTTGAATTTTTTGGTGCACTATTTTGCAAGATTTCTGCATGTGCAGGAGGTGGTCTGATTTTAATTTTTCAGCCGGATTTTAAAATCCAGCTGAAAAAAGTATAATACTACAAAATATATATTCTAATTTTCCACTGCCCCTCATCTTCTGATCTTCCCCCATTGCTCGACCGCGTACGCGCTCTCGGCCGCTTTTGGGCATGTTTGGAGGAATTTTTCACCAATTTCGCATCATTTTATCGTAAAATTAAAGTATACGTTTTGTTGTATTATACTTCTACATTTAATATCCGGCTGAAAAATTAAAATTGGATTATCTCCAACTCCTCCAGAAATTTTGCAAAACAGTGCACCAAAAAATTCAAATTGCAATTGTGCCAAAACTAATGATCCGACAGCGCTGGCTTTGTGCACACTTAAAATTTTAAGGTACATATAATTCACTACTTTTGTGCACAGGGTCAGCTCTACAACTTAAAAAATGGCAGAGTAACGAATTCAACAAAAAAAAAATGCTAAATTTTCCTAATTTTCTAGGTTTTCTTAATTATCTGGTTGGGTCAATCAACCTCTCATTTCATTCGTATTTCGATTCCCTACAAATTGCCTCTTTGTAGCATTCAGAATTGCTTCATTAGTTTAGGTTTTATAACCAAAAAACTGAAAAAAAATTCGTTTTTTGTATAAAAATATTTATAAAAAATTAATTAATGGTAAATTGGAGGAGGAAACATATAAGCATATATCTACAGACTGTCTTTTATATGATGGCACAGTCTGTTTGCTACTAATATTTTCGTCACAAACAAAACCTCTACTGAGTTTGCTGAGTTCTGTGATTATCTCAGTAAATCCAGCTTAAATTTGTATGGTTTTGGTGAATTTTAAACTGCTGTTATGATGCAAAAAATCACAAAACAGGTTTTCATTGTACAAATGTGAATCCTCACTATTTCTTAAATGAACAGTAAATTCATGAACACCACCACTGATTTGAACTCGTTTGAAATCTTAGTTCATACCATTACGCTTGATGACGAGAACGTAGAGATCCAACGGCTATGGTATATTTGTATCCATATCTGATTTAAAGCCATACTGATTGTTCTATGATAATGTTCTTACATTTTTTCCTAATAATTTCTTAACCTAACTCTTGATGATTGTTTAAATTAATGTTAAAATAGTCTCCTCTTACCTCATTTCCTCATCTTCCGATTTTATGTTGATACTTTCAACTTTGATGGGCATTTCCATCTCGTTAATATTGAATTCCTTGTCCAAGTTTTCAGTCTTAACGAATAAATCAAGTGGAGACGTATCTATTTGACTTTCTGTGGCTGAAGAATCAAAAGTATTTTCAACTTTTTCCTCTACGTCTAAGCAATCTTTTAGGAAACTGTTGTGAGTACACAGAGAATCCAAGCATGGCTTACAAACAACGGGATCTTTGATGATATTCATATTCTACAAAGCATTTGTGGTAAACTGTAAAATATACAATTATTTAATATGGTTTATACCATTTCAGGAGCCAATTTCTCAATAGCTTCAAGTTCCAATTCACGTATGCACCTGAACTCACTTTCTACTGGCTGCATACACAATCGACATATTTTCTGACTGCAAACTAATTCTTTTTTCTTTTCCTGCATGTACACTTCTCTAAAGTCGAGCTGTAACATTTTTCCGCTATCCACATAAAGAATAATTGTTTTATCACTATTTAGACAAGTTGACTTAAATTCGAATGCTGCATTTAACTTTCTTCTGCAAACGTTACATATAACCTCTTTGCTCTCCTTATCAAATTTCTGAAAAATATACAACTTTAAACAGAAAGGAAATAAGTGTAGCAGAAAATACAAGTAAATACTAAAAAGTGTTTGACACTTGAGACTGTTAAGGCGTAATCTAATTATATTTCACCGACTTACCAATTTCAGCAAAAGAACATCTAGCATGCCTCTGATAATGTTGTCTACCACTTCAAAACTTTTATCGGTTATATTTTTAAGGCAAAGCCTACACAACGTTTCCTTAACATTACTCATTGCTCTATAACAATCTTCATTTGAGTATAAAAAGAACATATAAACCTATCACTTCTCAAGAATTGTTTACAATTCTTGGAATCTTGGTCTTGGACACTTCTAACCTAACCTTCTTGTGGCGGCGTAGCCAGGGTTACCAACCAGCCTTTGTCGATTACTTACAACTTTAAAATATCAAAATCAAGACAGTTTTTTTTATAAAATTTAATCAACGGCCATCTGTGGCGTGTTGGTTTGATTTTATTTTACCATTTAAAATTTTTATTATTGTGTCAATGTTGCCAAACATCAAAAGCTGGGGCGCGTTCACAATTATTGTCGGTTGTATGCCGGGAATATATATCAATATGAAGTGTACTCGGCGATTGGGCTGAAGATATTGTGGTTGAAGTGATCACGATCATCAAATTAGAACCGGGAACCGGTTGGTATTCTATATATGTCCGGCATCCAACCCACTAAAATTGTTAAAAATATGAAAATATTTATTTTTGAAGACAATTTAAATTAAACGTTATTAAAACTTTATACTTTATAAAACAATATTTTTTGTACATGAAATGTTTTTTAAATATAAAATAAATAGCATAGGCTGTACTAATTATCATTTTATTCAAATAGATAAGGACAAACTACAATTGTTCAAGAAATAATTTGTGAATATTAATACTAATATTAATAAATAAGGAAATAAATACTTTTTACTTATCCTCGCATCTACATGTCATAAATACGACAATACATAAATATAATATAAAACGTTTATAAACACGACTTTCACTTAAATAAAACAACATATTTTTGAATAAAGGCAAGTAAAAAATAAACCGCAAGTGTGTTTTATTAAAGTTTTCCGAGATCTTAGAGATTAAAATTGGGACAATAGTGAAGACAGCAGTTCTCAACAGTTTTCTATTATAAAAATCATGTGTTATTATTTTACAGTAGACCTTTCTATTAATTACAAGCTTTACAGTCTTTACACAGTTGACAATATCGGTTTAAAATTAACGTACACGTTTAGCAGACAGTCACATTGTGAGAAACAGGAAAGTTTGGACAAAAAAGTCCAAAATCACTTGTCGGCCTCCATTTCGGTCAGGTTTTAGTGTTTCAACCGATGTGTCTCAAGGCAGGCGTTACATTTTACTTCATATTTACGATTGGCCCCCTATCCACACTTGTAGCTCTTAAATGCCACCATTTCTGCCAACATTTTGCACAACGAATGAAAGGTAATATTTCACACCTGCAAACCTTTTTTTGTGAATCAATTGAGGTCTCCTCAAAGATTCCTTTTGCTGGAGCAAAGTACACCGATACATTAGCATTTATGAAGACTCTTTATGCTTCAACATGTCGTTACACTTGTATGTTTGCACTGGCAAAGAATTTTGATGTTTCAGTCGGTGCAGTTTGATAACATTATTGTATAATTTTGTAATTGTGGTCGTTACAGCTGTATATTTGAACCTGTGAAGTAACTTTATGTTTCAGTTGATGTTTTTTGATATAATTCCTGTATCTAGTTTCTTAATCGCAGTCGTTATATTTGAACCTGCAAAGGATCTTTATGTTTCAGTTGGTGCCGTTTCATATGAAACCTGTATTTAGTTTCGAAACTGCAGTTGTCATACTTGCATATTTGGACCTGCGAGAGCCGTTTATGTTTCAGCTGGTGCATTTCCATATTCCTCTTGTATATGGTTTCGTAATTGCAGTCGTTAAACCTGTACATTTAAACCTGTGAAGGATTTTTATGTTTTAGTTGGTGCTTTTTGATATAACTCTTGTATTTAGTTTCGTAATCGCAGTCGTTACACCTGTACATTTGAACCTGTGAAGGACCTTCATGCTTCAGTTGGTGTCCTTTCATGTTCCTGCTGTATCTAGTTTCGTAATCGCAGTCTTTACATTTGTACATTTGAACCTGTGAAGGATCTTTATGTTTCACTTGGTGCCCTTTGAGATTACTCTTGTATCTACTTTCATAATCGCAGTCGCTACACCTATACATTTGAATGAGCGAAGTATCTTTATGTTTCACTTGGTGCTTTTTGACAGCATATTTGTATTTAGTTTCGTAATCGCAGTCTTTACATTTGTACATTTGAACCTGTGAAGGATCTTTATGCTTCAGTTGGTGTCCTTTCATATGTTTGCTGTATATAGTTTCGTAATCGCAGACGTTACACCTGTACATTTGAACCTGCGAAGGATCTTTATGCTTCAGTTGGTGCGCTTTCATATGTTTGCTGTATTTAGTTTCGTAATCGCAGTCGTTACACCTGTACATTTGAACCTGTGATGGATCTTTATGTTTCAGTTGGTGAGGTTTGATATGACTCTTGTATACAGTTTTGTATTCGCAGTAGTTACACTGGTACATTTGAACCTGTGAAGGATCTTTATGTTTCAGTTGGTGCTTTGTGACAGCATACTTGTATTTAGATTCGTAATCGCAGTCGTTACACTTATACATTTGAACCTGTGAAGGATCTTTATGTTTCAGTTGGTGTACTTTCATATGTTTGCTATATTTAGTTTCATAATCACAGTCGTTACACTTGTACATTTGAACCTTCAAAGTGTCTTTATGCCTCGACAGGTGCCTCTGAAGTGATTTCTTATTTTCAGTTTTATACTCACACGATTCACATTTATACACTTCCGAATCGTTCGTTGTAAAATGGGTCTCACTTCCACTTTTGTAAATGCATTTATTATCTTTGTACAATACTTTGTGCTCCTGCTTGGTTTTCATTTCTGATCCATTGTCATGTTTACATCCCTCCTCTTCTTCACCTTTATAGATACTCTGCTCGAATGGTACGATATCCGAGCTCTGCAGTGGCGTGTCGCTGAAAAAAATAGCACATAAAGGGTATTTATAAAAATCAAGTTTTAATTTTTAGGAGTTTTAGGTGACACATGCCAAAATGTTACGTTTTACAAAAAATTACTCTAGTAAACGTACAGTTGTATAGTTGAGCTGTTGGATCTTTACGTTTACGTCATCAACAAACATCAATATAATAAAAGACAAAAGTTCAATTATTCATCAACTTGAATTAACCGATGATAGAAAAAGACAAGCTGTCGCCTTCATGTGTTGTATGACTGACACTAGTTCTGACAGGCGTTATTAATTGTATCTGATGACTGACAAAGAGATATACCTATTGTCGTTTGTTGTGCGCTTAAAATTTAGATATTTGATGAAAATCGTTTGACACTGTGCACGAAAGTAGTGAAAGATGTACTTTAAGTGTGCACGAAGCAGGTGCTGTCGGACCATTAGTTTTGGCACAATTGCAATCTACATTTTTCGGTGCTTTATTTTGCAAAATTTCTGGATGCGTTGGTGGTGGTCCGATTTTAATTTTTCAGCCGGATTTTAAAAGTAGAAGTATAATACTACAGAACTCTACTACTACTGCTCAAAAATGCAATTTTGCAACTTTTTAAGTAGGAAATTCCTGTCAATGGTCTCAAATGATCTCTTTAAATCGAGAAATACAGCTACCGTAAATTTATTATTATCAATGTTACATTTAAATTCCGTTAATGAAAGTTGCAAAGCCGTTTCACATGACTATTTTTTACGAAAACCTGATTGGTTACTAAATAAAATATGATTCATTTGAAAGTACTCTAATAGCGGATTGTAAACTGCTAATTCTAAAACTTTTTCAAGATATGGTAAAGTATTTATTGGTCTAAATTCACATGCTTTTATTGTGTTAGGAACTTTTGATATTGGAATAATACTACTTGTTTTTAGTATCTTAGAAAATTTCCCATATTCTAGGGATACATTAATAAAATTTAAAATTACATGACCTAAGGAATGCACAATATGTTTTCTAAACCTTTAACAAGAATGTTTAAATCAGATAACAATTCTTAAAACTACATCTTCAATACTATTTATTATAAATTGAAGTTTTTAGCTAAACTAACTTCATTATTACAAGTAATAGTATGGTCTCCAAACTTAAATTGTACACAATCGATCTTAACCTTTTTATTACTATTGACTAATTCTTTAATAGTCATCCACATAAGTTTAGGATTACTGATATGTCTGTCAATTTTTTCAAAATAGTACCTTTTTCTTTACTATTAACAAATTAACCACATTATTTCTAAACTTCTTGTAATTATTCCGGAGAAAGTCTTTATTTGCCTCACTAGATTTTTTAAAATCTTTATATGCAGAATCGCACTTCTTTGTTTCATTCATAAGTTCATTATCAAACCATGGTAAATTATACTTACATTTATAATATTGTATTGGTGACACCCTCTCAACAATTTCTGTATATTTATAAGAATCTCATCATACAAATGATTTGTCAACACAGTTTAAAGAACACCGATACATTTGTAATTGGGTTTGAATATTAGTTAAATGATCTTCATCAAAATTTCTGAATGATTTATATAGTTTCATTAAGTTTTTCAATCACAGTATGGTAAATATCTATAGAAATTATGAAATGGTCATGGTAATTTTAGGGTAATAATGAACTGTTGCTTTGACTTTCTTTAGCGAGTACATAATTAACCAAAGAACTAGTATTAGTAACACGTGTAGTTTCAGTGACTAATTGCGATATACCATATGTACTAAAAAGATTAACAATCTTATTGATATAAAAACTATTATCTAATAAGCCTAAATTAAAATCACCAACAAGTAAACTATTATCCCACTGTAGAACATACTCATATAAATTTTCCAAATCCTTAATGAATGTAGCATGCGAAGCAAGAGAATGATATAAACGTCCAATCAACCACTTTGAAAAGGGGAATACAACTATTATAATTTCAGTAAATCGTGCTTAAGTTTGTTTGGTTTTGGTGGATTTTAAACTGTTATGATGCAAAAAATCACAAAACATGTTTTCTTTGTACAAATGTGAAACCTATTTCTTAAATGAACAGTAATTCGTGAACACGACCACTGATTTGAACTCGTTTGAAATCTTATTAGTTCATACCATTATGCTTGATGACGAGAACGTAGAGATCCAACGGCTATGGTATATTTGTATCCATATCTGATTTAAAGCCATACTGATTGTTTGTTAATGATCTTACATTTTTTCCTAATAATTTCTCAACTTAACTCTTGATGATTGGTTAAATTAATGTTAAAATAGTCTCCTCTTACCTCATTTCCTCATCTTCCGATTTTATGTCGATACTTTCAGCTTTGATCGACATTTCCATCCCGTTAATATCGAATTTCTTGTCCAGATTTTCAGTCTTAACGAATAAATTAAGTGACGACGTATCTATTTGACTTTCTGTGACTGAAGAATCAAAAGTACTTTTAGTTTTTTCCTCTACCTCTAAGCAATCTTTTAGGAAACTGTTGTGAGTACACAGGGAATCGAAACACGGCTTACAAACAACGGGATCTTTGATGATATTTATATTCTACAAAGCAATTTTGTTAAATTACAAAATATACAATTATTTAAAACGGCTTATACCATTTCAGGAGTCAATTTCTGAATAGCATCAAGTTCCGCTTCACCTATGCACTTAGACTCACTTACTACTGGCTGCATACACAATCGACATATTTTCTGACTATCTGAAATATCAACTAACTCGCTTTTCTTTTCCTGCATGTACACTTCTCTTAGGTCGAGCTGTAACATTTTCTCGCTATCCACATAAGGAATAATTGTTTTATCGGTATTCATACATGTTGACTTAAATTCTGAAGCCGAATTTAACTTTATTCTGCAAACGTTACATATAACCTCTTTGCTCTTGTTATCAAATTTCTGAAAAATATGCAACTTTAACCAGAAAAAAATAACTGGCGGAAAATACCAATTAAATACTAAAAGTTGTTTTACAATTGAGGCTGTTACGACGTAATCTAATAATTGTATTTCACTAACTTACCAATTTCAGCAAAATCACATCTAGAATGTCTCTGATATTTTTGTTTGTCACTTCAAAGCTTTCATCGGTTATATTTTTCAGGCAAAGCCTACACGAAGTTTCCTTAACATCAGTCATTGCTTTTCGACAACCTTATTTTGAGAATAAAAAGGACACAGTGACAATAAACAAAAATATGAGCCGTTACTTCTAACTCTAACCCAACCTTTTCGATCGGCTTCTAGTCTATCATCATAGAACCATAGAGCAGTAGTGTGGTTAGGAATAGAGATGGTAGATGGATCAAAACCACTGCTCCACAGAATTGTAAACGCCAAAACGCTTCCGCATCCCGCCAATTATTATTTTTTCGAGTGCGCATGTGCGAAAATCGCCATTATTTTGTAAATATTTCCGTCAACCTCAAAATATTTTGGTTGATGCGTGTCGGTAGTTATTATATTTTTTGTATTCGTGCATAAATACTTTTTTCTATTTGTATGTGATGTGGAACAGTGTGTTGTTCATGGGTGTTTCAGTAAAACGACAACAAAAGACATCATTTTATTTAGGTTTCCAAAAGTGTTGAAACTAGTACACTCGTAGATGTTATTACAAAGTTGTAATGATCCTGCGTTTCACTATATTTAAATAAATAAGTTGAATGGAAACAATGACTAAAATATTTACGGTATTTTTTAGAGCAAAGTACTGGTTAAGAGCTTGTAATCGTGAAGATTTGGTGAATAAGACCACAATACAACTTTATCAATGATAATTATAAGATATGTGCACAACATTTTGAAGATAGAATGTTTACAAACCACCTAAAGAATAGATAAAAATTTGTTTGTATTTTGTAAATTTTAATGAAATAAAAATATCTGTTAAAAAATTCACTTTATTTTTTTCATTTCCAACATCTTTTCAAGTTTTCACCTGTTTTAGAACTAAACAAAAAATACTCAGAATTGTGATTAAACATCTTATTTTAATTTTTATTTATTGTTAACGTCGACAATAAGGAAGTGTTGTAAACAAGTAATTATCGTAATGAAATAATAAATAATGAAAATACGAGTGTTCGCTATGTAATAATTATATGTATCTGACAAGCTGTCCCTGTGCCATATTTTATGAATGAACCTCACCTAAATAGCAGAATGATTAAAGAAACTAGGTATACATTTAATGGCTGCTCCACTGATTATACTTTTTAATCGCTGTTTCTCCGAAGGAGAGTTTCCAGATATCTTCAAAACAAGACAACTATAGACCCATATCTATTATTCCAATTTTTGGCAAAATTTTTGAGTTTCCGATTAAGGATCGATTAATCTCCTTTTCAAACACTCCCTCAATAATAAACAACAATCAAATCGGATTTCAATCTAATAAATTGACAATCCAAGCAGTGATGGCTACAGTAAATTCGATAATATGTAGATAACATAGAAAATGGTCTAATATCTGCTCTTAATTATATGACTTAAACAAAGCATTAGATAGTGTAAATCACAAGCTTTTACTTGCTGAACTGGAGTATTACGGTGTACGTGGCGTCGCCTTGAGCCTGATATGGACGCCTATTTATGTGGAAGCAAGCAAATTGTTTATACATCGGGTTTAGTGAATGTATGCCCGTCGCACACGGTGTACCCCAGGGCTCAGTATTGGGACCAATCCTTTTTATTATATATACAAATGACATCTTTAACTATATACTCCCAAAGGTATGTGTCTCCTATGCTGGCGACACCTTTATAATTCAGGGAAACTTTAATGACAATTTATTTAGAGGCATTTTCGAGATATTGTAATAAAATTGTGACTTAATGGCCCCCTTTAGGGGGGCGTAGCGCCACAGTGGGGCGTTTTAGGACACATGTCGATATGAACTTTTTCGCTCAGAATTACTTTATCATCCGTGTTCATTTGGCACACCGGAAATGAAACACCCTGTATATTAGGGTAGCCCAAAAATAAAACGAATATATTTTTCCGTGCCTCTTGTGAAAATATGTTAATTTATCATGTTTTAAGAGCCCCTCAAAAAATCAGCTCAAAAATAAATTTTTTTAGTGCTCAAGATTTTTAAAAATTTCAAAAATCTCCAAAAATTAAATTTTTTTTTTAATTTTTTTTCTCGTTACTTTATCATTTTCAAGGTTGACAAAAAACTTGATTCTGAAAATTTCAAATCGATATTTTAATTTCTAAGGGGCACTCATAATTATTTTATTTTAACTTTAAAAGTAGTATACCTAAAATGTTTTCGAGCAACCTCTAAAATTAAATATCAACGAACTAATTATTTTTTTTTATTGAATTTGATGAACAGAATACAAATAAATCATGACACTTAAAAAATTTCTCGAGGCAAAATTTACTACCACACTGTATCAAATATTTATAATTTTTTAATTTTTTAAAATTTGTGTCGTGTTTTATTTCTATTCTTTTGTTCATCAAATTCAATAAAAAAAAATATTATTTCGTTGATATTTATTTTTAGAGGTCGCTCGAAAACATTTTAGGTACACTACTTTTAAAGTTAAAATAATTATGAGTGACCTTCAGAAATTAAAATATCGATTTGAAAGAGATATTCAGAATCGAGATTTTTTTCAACCTAGAAAATGATAAAATAAAGAGAAAAATATAAAAAAATTCAATATGACGATTTTGAAAATTTTTAAAAATCTTGAATAAAATTTTTTTAAGCTGATATTTTGAGGGGGCTCTTAAAACATGATATATGTATGTATGTATGTCGGAGGGTGGTGGAATTGTCTTTCACCGGCACTTAGGCCTTTTTTAGGCCCCTTGTACACCCTCCTTCATTACTCGAGTACTTTTCTTCAAACCATCTTATTTACTACACGGATGGCTTGGTGGCAAAGTCTCGTACAGTTAATGTATGATAGCATGGTCTTGAGTTACAGAGATTTCTTGCTCTGTTCTCATTACCATTTATCGGGGACCACACGCGTGCGGCAAATGTTGGGAGACCCAGGTCTCTTGGTAGGCTGCCACAGCCACGTCCCTGAGCCTGCCTTAGGTCACCCATCCAATTTCCGGCCCACGTCCGTGATGCATTGACTCGGCAGATCGAAATCCGCCAGCCAAGACACCCGGCTAGGCGATCCCCATCTTAAAACATGATAAACTAACATATTTTCACAAGACACAAAAAAAATATTCGTTTTATTTTGGGCCACCCAAATATATATCTATCTATTTATCCTTTAATTGAGTTTCAGAATTGCAGTCCATACTTTTGTACATTTGAACCCGTGATGAACCCTTTATCTGTCAGTTGATGCCTTTTGATATGTTTGTATTTTTAGTTTCGAAATCGCCGTCGTTACACCTGTATATTTAAACCTGTGAAGTATTTTTATGCTTCAGTTGGTGTTCTTTCATATTCCAGTTGTATCTAGTTTTATAATTGCAGTCATTACACTTGTACGTTTGAACCTGTGAAGGATCTTTATGTTTCACTTGGTGATTTGTGAGAGCATGCTTGTATTTAGTTTTGAAATTGCAGTCGTTACACTTATACATTTGAACCTGTGAAGGATCTTTGTGTTTCACTAGGTGCTTTGTGAGAGCATGCTTGTATTTAGTTTCGTAATCGCAGTCGTTACACCTGTACATTTGAACCTGTGAAGTATCTTTATGCTTCAGTTGGTGTCCTTTCATATTTTTGCTATATTTAGTTTCATAATTGCAGTCGTTGCACTTGTACATTTGAACCTGTGAAGAATCTTTATGCTTCAGTTGGTGTTGTTTCATATGATAGTTGTATATAGTTTCGTAATCACAGTCGTCACACCTGTACATTTGAACCTGTGAAGAATCTTTATGCTTCAGTTGGTGTTGTTTCATATGTTGGTTGTATCTAGTTTCGTAAGTGCAGTCCTTACATCTGTACATTTGAACCTGCGAAGGATCTTTATGTTTTAGTAGGTGCCATTTCATACGAAAATTGTATATAGTTTCGTAATCGCAGTTTTTACACCGGTACATTTGAACTTGTGAAGGATCTTTATGCTTCAGTTGGTGCCATTTGAAAGAATTCTTGTATTTACATTCATAATCGCAGTCGTTACACTTGTACATTTGAACCTGTGAAGCATCTTTATGCTTCAGTTGGTGTTTTTTCATATGTTGGTTGTATCTAGTTTCGTAAGTGCAGTCCTTACATCTGTACATTTGAACCTGCGAAGGATCTTTATGTTTTAGTAGGTGCCGTTTCATATGAAAATTGTATATAGTTTCGTAATCGCAGTTTTTACACCTGTACATTTGAACTTGTGAAGGATCTTTATGCTTCAGTTGATGCCATTTGACACAATTCTTGTATTTACTTTCGTAATCACAGTCGTTACACCTGTACATTTGAACCTGCGAAGGATCTTTATGTTTCAGTTGGTGCGTTTTGATACAACTCTTGTATTTAGTTTCGAAATTGCAGTCGTTACATTTGTACATTTGAACCTGTGTAAGATTTTTATGTTTTAGTTGGTGCCGTTTGATATCACCCTTGTATTTAGTTTCATAATCGCAGTCGTTACACCTGTACATTTGAACCTGTGAAGGATCTTTATGTTTCAGTTGGTGTTTTTTCATATGACGCCTGTATACATTTTTGTAATCGCAGTCATTACACTTGTATATCTGAACTTGTGAAGGATCTTTATGCTTCAGTTGGTGTCCTTTCATATGCTTGCTGTATCTAGTTTCGTAATTACAGTCATTACACCTGTACATTTGAACCTGTGCAGGATCTTTATGTTTCACTTGGTGCTGTTTGATATAAGCCTTGTATACAGTTTCGTAATCGCAGTCATTACACCTGTACATTTGAACCTTTGAAGGATCTTTGTGTTTCAGTTGGTGCAGTTTGATATAATACTTGCGTTTAGTTTCGTAATCGCAATCATTACACCTGTATATTTGAACCTTCGAAGGGTCTCTATGCCTCACCAGGTGCCTTTGAAGTAATTTCTTATTTTCAGTTTCATATTCACACGATTCACATTTATACGCTTCCAAANGTACATTTGAACCTGCGAAGGATCTTTATGTTTCAGTTGGTGCTTTTTGATATAACTCTTGTATACAGTTTCATAATCGCAGTTTTTACACCTGTACATTTGAACCTGTAAAGAATCTTTATGCTTAAGTTGGTGTTTCTTCATAACCATGCTGTATCTAGTTTCGTAATCGCAGTCTTTACACCTGTACATTTGAACCTGTGTGAACTCTTTATGCTTCAGTTGGTGCTCTTTGATATAACTCTTATATTTAGTTTCGAAATCGCAGTCGTTACACCTGTACATTTGAACCTGTGATGGATCTTTATGCTTCAATTGGTGTTGTTTCATATAGTGGCTGTATTTAGTTTCGAAATCGCAGTCGTTACACCTGTACATTTGAACCTGAGATGGATCTTTATGCCTCAACAAATGTCTCTGAGGTAATTTCTTCTTTTCAGTTTTATACTCGCAGGATTCACATTTATACCCTTTCCAATCGTTCTCGTGTCTCGCACAGTGTGCCGTAAAACGGATCTTACTTCCAGTTTCGTAAATACATTTATCACATTTGTACAATACTTTGCGCTCCTGCTTGATTTTTATTTCTGATCCATTCTCATGTTTACATCCATCCTCTTCTTCATCTTTACAGACACTCACCTCGAATGGTACGGCATCGGAGCTCTGCAGTGGTGTGTCGCTGAAAAAATTGCACATACAGGGTATTTTTAAAAATCAAGTTTCAATTTCCAGGGGTTATAGGTGACATATGCCAAAATATTGTTTTACAAAAAAATGGTTCTAATGAATGGGAAAATTTACATTTGATGTTAATAAGATGTGATTATTAAGTAATTATACATTTGTACCCCTGTACCGAAACAATTCAGTGCTTGCTTTCATTTCTATCGTTGTCACTCTTAACTTTATTGAATTATGTGTTATTAAAACGGATAGTAATTTCCACATTTTCAAAAAAAAAACAGTCAGTTATAAGTTTATGAACTCCACAAAACATTATTTAATCTTTATTATAATGAAACAATTTTTGTGCTGTCCAAATAGTGTAATAACGAAGTATAAAGCTGGAATAAGACAAAGAATTTTGATTTTTATTAATAAAAGATTCAGATCAGCCAGTTGTGACATTTTGGTAAGTCTGTAGCTGGCAGCGACCAACCGAAAAAACCATCGTACTTTAAACCTATTAGTTCTAGTAGTCTTTTGAATTGTCACAGGCAACAAAATTCAAATACTAAGTAATACCACAATAAGAATACTCATCAATTTAAGCAAATACTAAAATCTAACGATTATCCTGTTTCTCTATACAACATTATCCTTGACCATAATAGAATCAACAATAGTACTAGTAACATAATTTTAATTTGAATGATGAAAGCGATTCAGATCTTTGATAATGAATTTAGTAATCAACAATGGTATTTGCGAGATACTATCTATAAAGTCACATAATAACTCCATCGATAAAAAGTCAGATACGGATAATTGAAGTAAAATCTGCAATGGCATTATTAATAAATTTATTAAAACGTAAATCAAATAATGGTAAGTGCGTATAATATGGGTGTGTGATTTGTTTATTTTTAACTTTTGTGCCGGGGAGTCCTTACAGTAGATGACTTTCTAAATGTAAGAAGAAGACCTCCAACAAGTTTCGCTTGCCAATCATAATTTTAAAAAAAGTTTCACGTAATTGAAGTAGCGAAACCCCTATACGCAGGCTATTATGCAACTAAGGCGCGAATGTGTTTATTTATAACATTTGTGCCGCGACTTTCTCACTTCAGATCGCTTCTTAGATGTAAGAACAATCCCTGCAAGTTTCGCTGGTCAATAATAATTGTGTAAAGAATTATATCGATTCTTGTCATAAAGTTGCTTCCTTGCAATTGTCGACTATAATTGTTTATTTAATGTCAGTGCTGTTTGATTTCGGGAAAGTACTATTTTCCTGCCATTTTGATTATTTTATACTTAATTATGCTGTAAAATGAAAAAAATTTTTTGGGGCCCCACCGCAAGTATGGCTCTGTTTGGCGGGTTCTGCGCGGCGGGTAGCTTCAACTTCATCAATCGAAGTTATTATGGGAAAATCCATATGGGATGATCCACGTCAAATCGATCAAGCCTGTGCCCAAAACTTGAGAGCACTTACGAAAATGGTTTCCGGCTTAAAAAATTCGTTTTTCCAAGTACTTTAAGATGCTAATTGGCAGAATTGAAAAATCCAAGATGGCGGACATAATATGGCTCCTAGAAGTATGAGAAAAATAAAGAATCGTCCGATAAACTTCTCACGGTAATCAGATTAACCACAAATTCATACCCAAATAATCTGAACAGGTGCCCTTGACTTCGTTGGACATGAGTATGGAGTTATTTTTCAAAAATTCAAGATGGCGAATTTCATATAGTGACTTGTAAGGCTAAAAAGCCTGAAATCATCATTCAGAGGGAAGTGAACTGTCGACTTCACCCATAAACCTTTTCTGAACAGATATTTCTCATGTTTTTCAGGTCGCTGGAACGTGACGTTGAGTATGTTTGATGGTATAATATCATGTAACGATTCTAACCTCAAAAATATTTGAAAAATCTCGATTTGTCGTTAATATAGCGAGCTAAACCCCAAAAGAATAGACAATCTTCATGTTTTTGGGGTCGCTGAATATTCCGTGACTCCCGATCAATTTGTGATAATTTCAACAATGGAGATAGGATCCTTCAGTGAGCCAGCGTTAGAATAATAATAAAATAATTAATTGGAAAAAAACACTACAATATCGAATCGTCTCCATTTCACATTTTAGTGACCATAGAAACATGAAAATTGTCTATTCTTTTAAAGTTTACTCATCAACAAAAAATCGAGATTTTTCAAATACTTTTGTGGTTAGGATCAGTGTATGATTTGATACCATCAAAAAAACTAATTATATTTCAGCGACCCCAAAAACATGAAAATTGTCTATTCTTTTGAGGTTTAGCTCGCTATACTAACGAAAAATCGATAATTTTCAAATATTTTTGAGGTTAGAATTGATATATGATATTATACCATCAAACAAACTCAACGTAACGTTCCTGCGACCTGAAAAACATGAGAAATATCTGTTCAGATAAGGTTTATGGGTGAATTGAACAATTCACTTCCCTTTGAATGACGATTTCAGGCTTTTTAGTCTTACAAGTCACTATATGAAATTTCTATGAATATGAAAATATATGAAGAAATATGAATATGAATATAAGAAAAAATATGAAAATTTCAATTTCTGCCCAAAGATAAAGAAATTTTGAATGAATGAAAACTAGTACAGCATTCTTTGTACCATATTTGATTCAAAGCCATACTGATTGTTTTATAATGATCTTAATTTTTTTCTCAGTAACTTGTTAACCTAACTTTTAATGATTGTATAAAAATTTCTACAATGTACCGTTTATAAATCGTATAATTTGTTACAATTACTTTATCACCAGATGGTGCAGTACGTTTTTAATCATATCAATCACGACGGTGTAACGACGATGGGTTGCCATTTTTTAAATTAATGTTAAAACAGTCTTCTCTTACCTCATTTCCTCGTCTTCCGACTTTATGTCGATACTTTCAGCTTTGATCGATATTTCCATCTCGTTAATATCGAATTCCTTGTCCAGGTTTTCAGTCTTAATGAATAAATCAAGGGGACACGTATCTATTTGGCTTCCTCTGGCTGAACTATCAAGAGGACTTTTAATTTTTTCTTCTACCCCTGAACAATCTTTAAGGAAACTGTTGTGAGTACTCAGAGAATCGAAGCATGGCTTACAAACAACGGGATCTTTGATGATACTTATATTCTACAAAGCAGATTTGTTAAATTACAAAATATGCAAGTATGTAATATTGTTCAGACCATTTCAGGAGCCAATTTCTCAATAGCTTCAAGTTCCTCTTCACGTATGCACCTAAACTCACTTTCTATTGGGTGCATACACAATCGACATATTTTCTGACTGTACACTAATTCGCTTTTCTTTTCCTGGATGTACACTTCTTTTAAGTCGAGCTGTAACATTTTGACGCTGTCCACATAAGGAATAATTATGTTATCGGTATTCAGGCAGGTCGACTTGAATTCTAACGCCGCATTTAACTTTCTTCTGCAAACGCTACATACAACCTCGTTATCAAATTTCTGAAAAACATGCAACTTTAAACAGAAAGAAAATAAGTGTAATGGAAAATAACAATTAAATACCAAAGGCTACTTTATGTTTGAGACTGCTAGGATCTAATCTAATTAGATTTCACCGACTTACCAATTTCAGCAAAAGAACATCTAGAATGTCTCTGATAATATTGTTTACTACTTCAAAACTTCCATCGGTTATATTTTTAAGGCAAAACCTACATGAAATTTCCTTAACATCAGCCATTGCTCTTCAACAATCTTATTTTGAGTATAAAAATAACAGAAATCAAAAACGAAAATATAATGCAGTCGTTTCTAACCTTTTTGGCTTCTGGTCTGACATCAGTGGCGTGGCATCACTGGCATAGAACAATAGAACTAGTGATGGGAGATTTCGAGTGAAAAATCGAGTTGGACTCGATTATTGAGATCACTCGAGATATCTCGAGATGTTTACTCCCACCACTCGAGTGTTTGTTAGCTTACGGTTGCACCCCAAAATGTTAGTGCATACTGCAAATAGTCACTGATTGCGTAACCTTTTTTTTTAGAATAAAACGAAAAAGTGGTTAGGTATTGACGTGCGTGAGCTTTTTTTTTTTTTTTTAGCTACGCTTATAAGTAATATATAACTAATACAAACATATTTGTGCGCCGCTGGGATGAAAATGACCAATATCTCGTATCTCGAGTGATCGCTCGATTATTAGAAGTACTCGATTACCGATAACTCGATTATCAAAATTTGTCGATAATGCTCATCACTACATAGAGCAGTAGTCTGGTTAGGAATAGAGATGGGACAAACGACACTGATTCGGCACTTCTTTTTCGTACTGGTCCACAGACCACCTAGACTGGCCGTAACTAATTCTAATGCACGGGTACCATTGAATTCAAAATCCGGGGAAGTGGAGTGTGGAAGGCAAACTCATCGCGCGCATCTTTAAGCAGATCCGGCTTAATATTTTTATTACATATTAAACATTATATTGCATTTTATGACAAATATTCAATTTTAAGTTTGTAATTCAGAAAATAGTATATGCCTTTTCGTAGATTTTACCGAATTAAATAATTTGACTTCACGATTTATTCGTACATCGATATACTTTTCACATTCAGCCCTTACAAGTTCTATTAAATGATTACAATTGTTAGGCAAATTATCAAATTGATATTCATGCATATTTTCAAATATGTTCACATTCAGAAAGTTTCTTAATACATGATAAACAATTTTATTTTTCTGTAGCCTAGGTGTTCTGCTTTCATCATTATTTAAAAATTTTATTAATTTTTCTGTTTCTTAGCATATTACTACGACATCTCGAGATGGATACGTCAAACAACCACGATCTTTAATAAAAATTAATTGACTGTACGCATACTGAATCTGAAATTAGTTTTGTTTGCTATTTTTCATTTTTTAATTGAAACAATATTTAATTAATTTTCAATCTCGAAATGTAGGGAATTGGTAAAATTTCATAAAAATTTAAGGCCATAAAGTAAATAATCACTAAAAATATTTTACAGTAATTCATTAATTATTTTATAATAAGAATATAACGTTAATCACAACACTATGTGGGCGAACAAAATTATAAAGCTAACCCTGGAAACTTGTGACGTTAACCGAAAAATGGCGTACATATTTACCTTTTATATATTCCTTTTTTTACTTACCTAAAGAAGGATACTTTTCGCCTCTCTTCACCAACTCGATCACTTCTATTTATACAATGTTTTACAATACACTTGCCCATGATAAAACGTCCAATTATCGAAATCACAGCGATGCGTACACGTCAAATGCTAGGACACGACTGAGCGCTGGGCTCCAAAGTGTTTTCACCAAAGTCGCTCTATAAGCCAGTCTAGTATGTCTGTGCTAGGAACCGAAAATATGTCGACAGTGTGCATGACCATATTTTTTTTAGCGAATCTACTTCAAAATTGCGGAAAATCTACTAAAATCTACCAACATAGTAATAAGAAATTACTAAAAATCTACTTCACTGTTATTTGATTATCGTGACTAGTAAAATCCATAGATAAGGACAGTATATGTTAATTGCACATCAATTAATATTTCAATTAACGGTTATAAAGTAAAAATAGATAATTAGAATAAAAACGTAGGAACCAACATATTTTTTGCGCCATCTATTAATGAGCAGAAGTATCCGCGCCGTATTGCGCAGACCAAAGTTTAGCTAAATTTAAAGTGAAAAAGTCCAGATTTTTCAAATTTTAAATTATCATGTTCGGCACGATTTCTTTTGCCCCCTGTATTTCGCAGGACAACTTTTGATACATTTTTTGAAAGAGCCATCTTCACTCTACAGTTCCTGAAAAAAAATAATTTCTAGCTGTCATACAATCATAATTATGTCAACAACTAGAAGTGACGAAACATAAGAAACAAAATGAAAAGTGGATTATCTCGAAAACTATCAATATTTTAATAGGGATCATAACACAAAGTCCCGTTAATTTTTCACGTAGAATTTGATGCCATAAAAAATATAGGCTTCCATTTAAAACAATTAAGTTGGTACCTGCCCAGGAAAAACTGAACAACCTGTATATGCAAATATATTTTCATTTTGTGCAGCTCGGGAAAGTAGGCAACTCTGCAGAAAAAAAAATTATTTATATCTTTTATTAACCTAGATATTGGACTTACGCACACTAGGTGGAGACGGTGTATAGTGTGTAAGGTGTGTAAGTTTCAGACACTTTTTTACCCAATTACAAAAAGTCTTGTATTGTACCTAGATATTAGATTTGCTGTAATGGAAGATAAAAGTAACACTTCATTTTCTAAATCGATACCTAATACACAATTCTTTTTTAATCGCTAATAAATAATCAACAAAAAACATGATATAATTGTATAAAAAATAATGTTAAACAATCTATTTCATGTGTCTGCTAAATAAATATTATTAAGTGAACTGTACAGTGCGTTCACTCGACTGATATACGGGTCGCAGTGTACTGAGAAGAAATAATTATGATAAATTCGGCTCAATCAAAGGGGCACCCTATAAGGATCCGGAACCGGTGAACCCGGTCAGCAAAATAAGCCGGATTATTCATCGGTAGTTGGGAATGTTCTGATACAACTGATGCGAAACCAGTATAGACGTTTCTCTTCGATACCAAGTAAATTTAGTATGCGAATAGGTATGTAGTTTTAGAATCATTTCTGATTTATGCCGACAGCGTAATAAACCCATTTTAGAATAAAAAACAAGAATCCGGGAATTATTCGTTTTTTCAACTAATATCAAACGGATACCTCTGCATTGAACTTCGATTGGGAATTAAGTGAACTTATCGAATTCGCAAAATTTTCACCTTAATGACGGTGTCCCCACTATCTCCGCCACTGATTTCGTAACAGTTGTGATATTAGTTAGATTAGTAGATAGATACAGATATTAGTTAGATTAGTTGTCAAGTTTCTACTTGACCCAATGTAACATACACCGAATTTAATTCAAATATCTCTACTATTTTGAAAATGGTTGAGATTTCGAAGTAAATGTGTGACGAAGACCATCATTCTTGGTTCTATCCGAAAAACGGAGGTACAAAAATAATATTATAAATGGTAAGTGTCGGGATTTGTGCCCGCGTAATTAAACAACTTGATTAGTTTAAATAACTTTAATTCGAAGGACTATTTTTACAAGTGCACTCGCTTGCATATTTGAGTGAAACTCCTTTACAATTCAAAACTTAGGCGCACATGCCCAACGATCGAAAGGTAATAATTCGCACCTGCAAACTTTTAGTTGTGCATCACTTGAGGTCTCCTCAAAGACTTCTTTTGCTGGGTACATTTGCATTTATGAAAACTCTTTATGCTTCAACGTGTGACGTCCGATATCGCTCCTGTATTTAGTTCCAAAATCGCAGTCGTTACAGCTGAACATTTTACCAGTTTATGTTTCAGTTGGTGCAGTTTGATAACATTATTGTATACAGTTTTGTAATCGCAGTCGTTACACCTGTACATTTGAACCTGTGACGAATCTTTATGCTTCAGTTGATGCCGTTTGATATAACTCTTGTATTTAGTTTCGTAATCGCAAACGTTACACTTGTACATTGGAACTTGAGAAGGATCTTTATGTTTCAGTTGGTGGCGTTCGAAATGATTCTTGTATTTACTTTCGTAATCGCACTCCTTACACTTGTACGTTTGAACTTGTGAAGGATCTTTATGTTTCAGTTGGTGCCGTTTCATATGAAACTTGTATTTAGTTTCGAGACCGCAGTGGTCACACTTGTACCTTTGAACCTGCGAAGGATCTTTATGTTTCAGTTGATGCTGTTTGATAACACCCTTCCATTTAGTTTCGTAATCACAGTCGTTACACCTGTGCATTTCCACCTGAGAAGGATCTTTATGTTTCAGTTGGTGATTTTTGACAGCATACTTGTCTTTACTTTCGTATGCGCACTCGTTACACCTGTACATTTTCACCTGTGAAGGATCTTTATGTATCAGTTGATGCTTTTTGATATATTCTTTGTATTTAGTTTCAAAATCACAGTCGCTACACCTGTACATTTGAACCAGTGAAGGATCTTTATGTTTCAGTTGATGTTTTTTGACAGCATACTTGTCTTTACTCTCATAATCGCAGTCGTTACACTTGTACATTTGAACCTGTGAAGCATCTTTATGTGTTATTTGGTGCCTTTTGGCAGCATACTTGTATTTAGTTTCATAATCGCAGTCGTTACACCTGTACATTTGCACCTGAGAAGAATCTTTATGCTTCAGTTGGTGTTCTTTCATATTCCCGCTGTATCTACTTTCGTAATTGCAGTCACTACACTTGTACGTTTGAACCTGTGAAAGATCTTTATGCTTCAATTGGTGCTGTTTGATATCATTCTTGTATTTAGTTTTGTAATCGCAGTTATTACACCTGTACATTTGAACCTGCGAAGGGTCTTTATGCTTCAGTTGGTGACGTTTGATATCACTCTTGTATTTAGTTTCGTAATTGCAGTTTTTACACATGTATATTTGAACCTGAGATGGATCTTCGTGAAGTAATTTCTCATTTTCAGTTTTATACTTACGCGATTCACATTTATACAATTCCGAATCGTTCTCGTGTCTCGCACAGTGTGCCGTAAAACGGATCTTACTTCCAGTTTCGTAAATGCATTTCTCACATTTGTACAATACTTTGGGCTCCTGCTTGGTTTTCATTTCTGATCCATTCTCATGTTTACATCCATCCCCTTCTTCATCTTTACAGGCATTCTCCTCCAATGGTACGATATCGGAGCTCTGCAGAGGCGTGTTGCTGAAAAAATTGCACATACAGGGTATATTTTTAAAATAAAGTTTTAAATTTTAGGGGTTATAGGTGACACATGCCAAAATGTTGTTTTTAACAAAAAATGGTTCTAATAAATGGGAAAATTTACATTTGATGTCATTTAGCAAAAGAATACTCCAATAAACGGGCACCTTTACATTTGAAATTAATATGTGATTATTAATTGTACATTTGTACCACCATATCGGAACAATTTAGTGCTTGCTGTCATTTCTATCGTCGTCACTCTTAGACCTGATTGAATTATGTGTTATTAAATAGGATAACAATTATAAGTTTGTAAACACCACAAGCCATTATTTAATTTTTATTATAGTGAAATAATTTTCGTGAACAAAATTCAAATATTAAGTAATACCACAATAAGAATACTCGTCAATTTAAGCAAATATTAAAATATAACGATTATCCTGTTTCTCTTTACAAAGTTATCCTTGACCATAATAGAATCAATAATAGTACTAAACAAAATTTTAATTTTAATGATGAATCGATTCCGATCTTTGATAACGAATTAATTATCAAAAATGCTATTTGCGAGATGCTATCTATAAGATATAAACTGACACAATAATTCCATTGATAAAAGTTAGACACGGATAATTTAAATACAATCTACGTAAACATTATTAATGATTTTATTAAATTTTAGTGAAATAATAACACCCAGTAAGTATTCACCTTTTCTTTATTTGTCAACGTTTTTTGGTTTTTGTTTTTTAAATCACAAATTAAAAATTAAAGGATAAAAAGAAAATCCTAAATTTTTAGGTGATTTTCGAAAGGTTGTAACTTGACAAAAAATGGTCGTCGAGCAATAAAAAAAAGCAAATTGAAGCTTGAAGGTTCAACTTTCAAGATAAACTGAAATTTTATTTATAATTTTTGCTTCACTTTCAACAGATTCAAGGGTTTCAATATTTTATTGGCAATCACACCTACCAGCTCTTTTAGTTTAATTCATCCCCTTTGATTTGAGCCGTTCAAGAGGTTATATCATCAAAGCAAAAATAATTGTTTTGGATTTGATAATTAATTATTTGGGAAATAATGGCAGTACAGAAAATCTAAGCAGAGTTTTGAAAATTTCAAACTATCCTCCAAAAGATGTTCTTATCGTTTTTTGATAAATTTATTTTTTTCGATGCGACACAATGCCAAAATTTCGTATTTAAGGATTTTTGCTAAACCTGATATTGATATTGAAGATAGTTTTGTTTTTTTTTTAACCTCAAAGTAACACAAAAAATATCAAGAGTTCAAAGAGCTGCGATTTTTCTTTCATATAAAAAATCAATTCAAGGATAAATTTTACAGTGACAAATATTATGATCTTTAGTTTTTATCATGGGTGATAATGAAAAACAAGAAAAGAAAGCAACCAGAAAAAGCGTTTCACTGGAAACTAAAATGCAAGTGATTAGAAGATTAGATTCTGGTGAACGTCAATCTCAAATTAGTGTTGCATTGAATTTGGAAAATGATCCAAATTTTGACAGGACTTCAAAAGCAAGACGGGTGTTATAGATGCTTTATCCACTTATCAACAACTTCTAATAGAACGCAAAAGGAAAATGCAAACTACATTAGGTGCCTTCTTGACAAAAAGGCAGAAAATTGGAAACAAAATAGACTGAATGATCTGACTGACTTTTATTTGTTTTTATAAGTAATATTCGTTTATATTCTTTTTATTTTTGTAAGAAATAAATGTTTGGTTTTATTTTTATTAAAAAAAAAACATACTTATTAAATTTAATACCTAACCAATTTTCTGTCCATCTTCCCCTAACCCCATTATTTACATGTTAAGATAGCCTCGTTTAGCGCTGTTTCGCATTACGCTCTACTTTGATGGAACGTATCCTACGCTTTAAGCGGGGTCTTACTGTATCATCAATTATAAATATTTAATCATATAAATCGGGAAACGTCAGAACCACGTGGTCATTTTTTTTAAATTAATGTTCAAATAGTTTCCTCTTACCTCTTTTCCTCATCTTCTGATTTTATGTCGACACATTCAGTTTTGATCGACATTTCAATCTTAATATCAAATTCCTTGTCCAAGTTTTCAGTCTTAACGAATAAATCAAGTGAAGACGTATCTATTTGACTTCCTGTAGGTGTACTATCAAAAATACTTTTAATTTTTTCTTCTACCTCTGAGCAATCATTTAGGAAACTGTTGTGAGTACACAGAGAATCCCAGCATGGCTTACATACAACGGGATCTTTGACGATATTTATAAACTGCAAAGCAGTTTCATTAAATTATATAAAACAAGTAATTAATACTGTTCATACCAATTCAGGTGTCAATTTCTGAATAGCTTCGAGTTCCTCTTCACGTATGCACCTAAACTCCCTTTCTACTGGGTGCATACACAATCGACATATTTTCTGACTGCAAACTAATTCACTTTTCTTTTCCTGCATGTACACTTCTCTTAAGTCGAGCTGTAACACTTTTTCGCTATCCACATAAGGAATAATTGTGTTATCTGTATTCAGACACATTGACTTAAATTCTGACGCTGCATTTAATTTTCTTCTGCAAGTGTTACATATAGCCTTTATACTCTCATCAAACTTCTGAAAAATATGCAACTTAAAACAAAAAGAAAATAACTGGCATAAAATAACAATTAAACACTAAAAGTTAATTTACACTCGAGACTGTTAAGTAAGACGCAATCTAATTATATTTCACCGACTTACCAATTTCAGCAAAAGAACATCTAGAATGTCACTGATAACGTCGTTTATCACTTCAAAACTTTCATCGGTTATATGTTTAAGGCAAAGCCTACACGACATTTCCTTAACATCAGTCATTACTCTGCAACAATCTTCTTTTAAATATAAACAGAAAACAGAACGCAGAGATACAAATACAAAGCACAAAGCGTCAGTCGTCAGTTCTTACCTTCTTGGTTCTCGGCTTCTTATGACAGCATTGGCAATGCCAATTTGGCATCACAAAACATATATATTATACAGTTGGCACTAGTGGTGGGCAAGATCCGCATCATACGTATAAATCATACGGATCTCTAGTAGGAATCGATTCATGCGCGCGCCATTATTCATGCGGATCCCGATGCAAAAATAATTTCGTATGTTTCGCATCACCGCATCAATGTGAGTTGAGACTGAAGTGAAGTGATTTTCGTATCCGATACAGGAATGAGAAAGTGGGAGGCGTACGCATACTGGGAATCAGTTTATTCGTATACCGATATAAGAATAATTTGTTATATTCGCATCACCGCATCAATGCGAATTGGGAATGAATCGGTCTCAACTGATTCTCGTGTTCGATACGGGTCGATGAGATACGATGCATTAGAAACAGTTTAGTGCATAGGAAACTAAATATTGAAATGATTTATATGAAATTGTGGAGTCTGAAACAAACTTATAATGTAAAAAGTAATTGTCAGAGTGATGTGTGTTTCGTATTGTCAGGGTAAAGTGTATTTCGTATTTAAATGTTGAATCCTTTGACCGAAAATAAATTTAAACATTAATTCATTTTACTTAAAAATAATTTACTGCTTTCTCAACTTGAGTTCAAATATATTACTGCTTCGTTTCTGCTGATATTCATGGTTCTGCTAAAAAATTAATTTATAGATGTTTGCAAAAAATTTGCAAATTTTGCCGTGTGGTATATTGACAGGTAATTACCTCCCCTTACATTAATTTATAAATTAATAAATAAAACACAAAAGCAATTTGTGCTTTGACTGCTGCTACTGTGTAAAAAGAGACTGAAAAAGTAATGCGATAGTTCTTTCTTATATTGGAATTTAATTAGAAAATATACGCGACAGAGTGTGATACGAGATTCAATATATGAAACGGGAATGAGTGAGGATGTACAAATTGTACTTGTACATCCGCACTGAATACGATTCCCTGATGCGGATCTTTATGTTGATACATTTCGCATCATGCGGATCATTAAAAAGGTCCGTATTGCCCATCTCTAGTTGGCACTATTGACATTGCAATAGAGATGGGCGGAACATGACGATCCAACTTTCCTCCGTACTGACCAGGGGCTTGATTTTTGAAAACAGGAGAATTAGTTCATTAGAGAAAATTACGTCATTTTCTCTTGACACGCAGATAATGTGATTTTTGAAATTTTCTTGTGGAATATTTTCTCTAGATATCAAGAGAAATAATTCCACAGGGTTTTGTCGGGGGAATTGGCGTTTTCTCCGAATAGTTTGAATCCAAATGTCATCTCATGCTCATGCGCGAATTGTCACTTCATTCATTCGCTGTTCGAAGGTGCGTAATCATTTGAAATTTGTAATGGATCCAAATAATTTATTATTAATTCTAAATATAATGAATAATTTGCAAGCTGCAGAAATTGTAAACCATCCGCGACAACATTAATTAAACCATTTAAAGTTTCAGCAATATCTGACCACTGTTCTTGGGCCTTTTTGTGAGTAAAAGTAGAAGAAAACTTTCATTTTAAAAAGTTCTTCGTTGTTTCTAAGCATATTAATTTCTTTTTTGCGCTTTCGACGTGAACGA